GAATTTGGAAAAGCCTAATCTGAAGTTGTTCTTTACAGAGACTTGAAACACAAAATATGAGTATGGATTTTTCTATTCCTTTCCCAGTGAAAGTCCTAGTTGTAGACATGGATCCTACTGCTTTGGATGTTCTGACCAGTTATCTTCTCAAGTATAACTATTTAGGTGACAATGCATTATTCTTGATGTATTTTATTTCTTTCTCTATCATCCATTTCTATTTTCATTTCTTTTATAGATTCCATATAGAATATAGGATCTCAAAGGAAATAGAAATAGAATTGGATGGCGCAGGGAGTAATATTTTTTTGTTTCTGTTTTTTGGATTTCGATTTCTGACTGTGGATATAATTGTTGGATGTCTCCAGTGTGCCCGTGTAGTTCAATGCAAGGGATGTTGCAACGGCTGAAGAATGAAAAAGATTTCGACTTGATAATATGCGATGCCGACCTTCCTGGTCTCGACGTTAGCAAATTTCTCGCCTACGTCGCAATTGTGATGAATGTTAGAGTAATAAGTAAGTATCGTCTGTCTCCTCAATTAATTAATATAATCACCTCCTAGTTAAGTTTTGATGTATGGCAACTGATTTATGTATATATATGCAGTGATGTCCGACAATGGTTCGGAAAGCAAGGTGATCCAAATGGTGGATGGTAATTCTGCATTTTACTATCCCAAGCCAATCCAGGAGAATGAAGCGAGATACTTGTGGCAATATGTGATCGGGAAACAGCAGCAGCAGCAGCAACAGCCCAAATTGGTGACTGAAGAGCAGCATGGACATGAATTCGTCCATGCAGGTCCCTCGTCGTCGTCCAAGAGAAAAAGAAGTGACAGAGAATTAAGTAGTTACGAACAAGGAGAGGCTTCCCCCAAGAAGGAGAGAGTATTATGGAATGATGAGCTCCACGACAAGTTCTGTGAAGTGATACAACAGCTCGGAGGAATCGATGGTACATTCGTATTCATATTCATATTCATCTTAATTATTGAATCTTATTTAATTGGATGGGTTTTATCAATTATTTAACTAACTAGGTTTTGGTTTGTTTTATTTATTTTTGTTATTCAGAAGCTACGCCAAAGTTAATAGAGAAGGCGATGAATACACCATGGTTGACAAGGCAACATATCTCGAGCCATTTGCAAAAATACCGCCTCAAATTGAAGGCCGGAAAAGAAGTGATGAGAAAGAAGCACAATCACTTTGAGAGGGTACAGTCTTCGGAGATCATTCAGCCTCAGCCTGCGTTCCAACAAGAAGAAAAAAGAAACGTCTATTCAATTTCGGAGAATATTCTTTCGGTAACTAAAATCGGCTTAGATGGACGACCTTGCAGTACTACGACTACTACGATACCGATGCAGCAGCATTCAATGAATCAAAGGATATTGTATCCCTACAGTAGTCAGATGGCCCCTTGTAATGTTTGGTCGGATGCTTCTCCGTCCTACACCAAAGACGACTGCCCCCGACTCCAACTCCCGACCGCTGATAATGTATCATCGGATCAGCCATCCTGTCCGGTGCAGTTGCCATCAGCCGCTTGCGAAGCAGAAGCTGTTACTTTGGATGAAATATTTAGTGATGATTCAGCGACAGCCGGCAATAGAGTCTATGATTCTGACGTCGGAGAAATGATCAAGGAGCTATTAAATGATCCTTTGGATGATGAGAACGCTGTTGCTGTTGCTGCCGCTGCCAGTACCCAATTAGTCGAACAGAATACTACCACCCAGATGGAGGTGCAGCAGAATTCAATGAATCAAAGCATGCACCCTTGCAGCAGTGAGATTTTTTCTGATCTGCCCGTGCCCGACCATTTAGTCGACGAAGAAGCTTGCCAGAAACTAATGAAGGAACTGTACAAACTATTGTAGGAGACTTTTGTCGTGACCATTATTGATTGGTCATCGAAAATTGAAAATATACACTCCCTCCAACTACTTCAAAGGCCATTTTGTGAAGAGGTTTTACAATATTAAAAAATAATAATATTTTATTTATTACTAAAATTTTTTATGTTTTTATCATTTATAAATGAATTGTATATTTGTAATTTATTATAAATGTTAAGAGTATTTTAGTATTAATATATTGTAACTCTTATTTTGTATTAATCGAGATATAGTATATGTTTTATTATTGTATAATGCAAAATAATATTTTTTTCGTCTGAACTAGTTATGTCATTTTACTTGGACATACCGATTAAAGAATAATGATATTATCTCTGTCCGATTCTAATGATTTCATTTTTGTACAAATTAAGAAAAAATTAAAAAATACTTCAATTAATGTTTTATAATGCTAATATAAGGACATCCGTGCAATAAATTATACAAATATAAGGATATTTTTAATATTAAGTATATGTATTTTAATATAAAAATTATGTAGGTAACAAATAAAAAGAAATATTATGAAAAATAGATAAAATGTGACGTGATAAGTAAAAAAAACAATAGCAAATCAGTTATTATTTTTTTTAAAAATTAAAATAGTAATGAAAATTGTGATTAATTTTAGTATTATTTATTGTTATAAATACATAATAAATTTTAATTCTAACAAAATTATTAGTATTATTATAAAGTATATACTTAATTTATTTATTTTTCCTACACATCCATTCTGCGCTCAGATTCTTCCTCTTTTTCACTTTCAATACTGTTCCGTACTACTTATAAAGCGAATTGGATTTTAATTACTTTTAAGTGAATGAGCCAACCACCCGGACTACCGATTGGAAGTGGGTTAATTCGTGTGCCAAATAAATATAATTTTAATTATGTTAGTTTTTTTAAAATTTTAAATAAATTTATCTATTTTTTTATTTTAATTTCTTCGAAATTGATTTATTTATTTTATTTTTAGTAATTGTGCATATTATAATTAAAAATTCTTACAACCTATGTATTATTACAACAAAAGTAATTATCATTATTCAAATAATACCTATCTATTGTTTAATATAAGAATAATACCTTTTTGAAAGATTTATAAAAATAATACCTATTTATTGTTTAAATATTTTCTATTAACAAATTTTTAATAAAATATCGATCTATGATATTTAAAATTTTGATTACAATTCCAAACACAAATCACTATTATTCACTTTACACGTTTCGGTAAAAATAAATTATTTTTTCATACAAAATATTATACTACCTCCGTTCCGCAACAAGAGTACCATTTGTTTTTTCTACGTAAAATTTTGAATATTAATATTATATTAACTGAAGTTAAAAAGACAAATTCTCCAGCTAGTACGGTGTAATATAAAAATAATGATATTTGTGTAATATATTGTAAGTTGTAATTATATTTATTATGTTAGATAATTAGTACAATTACTAAATTAAAAAATTGTAGTCTTGTTTTGAAACAGACCAAAATATAAAATAATATCATTCTTACGGAACGGACAAAATATTAAAATAATATTTAAATAAAAATTTAATATCAATACCTTATTTTGGTTTATGATTTCTCCATTTTATTGTTAAAGTAAAATAAAGGTTTTTATATTAAAGTAAAATAAAGGTTTTTATATTTTGGATTTGTTTATTTGTGTGCTTTTTTTTTTTTTTTTTTGTTATAGTATTCTTATAAATGTTATAAAAAATATATTTTTCTTTTTGGTTTGTTTGCTTTGTGTTTTATAATAGATGTTTTTTTTGATGTCATGAAGAATTATATTAATAGTATAAAAAATTATATATTTATTGTGAATAATTAATTTTTTTAAGTAAATCAAATACAATGTATGTATTATATATGGCGGGTTAATGTATATATATTGTAATTTTTAAATAATATTTATAAAAAAATTGATGCCATAAAAAAAAAAAAGTGAACAATGTCGGACAAATTTGAGCTACACTAAATAAGTGGAGTATTATATAGCACACTTTATTGAGAATGCTTGATAAAATTCAAATTCATAATTTTATTGTCATTTTATCACACCAATTCAATTGATATTTTTAATTCAATAATAAAGTAGTAAAATCAAATAAAATTCATTGTAAATAAAATTAATTATACATAAAAAACTACATAATTGATTGAAATAAATACATATATATATAATTTCCGAAATATGATAGAAAATAAATTAAATCTAAAAAATATATAATTATTAATATATTAAACATTTATTAGTTTTATATTTTCTACACAATTTCTCCCAATGTTATAAAAAAAAATTTCAAATTATTTTACAAAATAAACACACATGTCTCTTTTCTTATCTTGCAGTCAGACCGGCAGTCAAAGCAACCGTCCTAATATTGTACCACAAGTTTAGGAGTACTTTAGTTAGCAGTGACTATTGCAAATTTATACCAGAATTTAAAATACGATTTAATTAGCTGAAATAATAGTAGAATAAAACTCAAATTAATTAATAATAAGGAATCCAAAAACAAATTAACAATTAAGATATTAAGGCTAAATGCAAGTTTTGGGAATTAAAATCAATAACCAAAACAAACAGCACCTTAATTTAATTGAAACCGCTTCCCCGTTCTATGAATGAAATTAAACGCAGATTCCATTTTGAAAAATAATACTTTCTCCGTCCACAAATTAATGTGCTATTTTTTTTTAATTTGGGACGTCCAACCATTATTGTCATATTTCATTTTTTAAACACAAATTTTACATTTTTACCCTCCATTCATTTATTACTTTTAATGTTTACAATACAATTAAGGACAAATTTGTCAATTTATAACAAAAAGACAATCACTTAAACAATCGTGCAAATATACTTTAGGATAATAAAAATTGATCGGACGGAGTAGTAATGAGCTTAAATAATATTACCGTAATTATCCAAAAATAACAATAAGATTGCGATTAGATTGCATCCTTATTAATATATATAACCCTCTTCCTTGTATAACTTGAATTTGTTTTTCACCAAGACCTCAAACACAAACTTGAATTTGTTTTTCACCAAGACCTCAAACACAAAATATGAGTATGGATTTATGTATTCCCTTTCGAGTGAAAGTTCTAATTGTAGATACGGATCTGACTGCCTTGAATGCTCTGTCAAATTATCTTCTCAAATACGACTATTCAGGTGAGAATACATCATTGTTGGTGTACAACCTCCCTTCCTCGTCCAATTCTGATTCCATTGTAAATCCTACTAAATTCCTTCTGCATCCAATTTTGTTCTCATTTCCTTTGTAAAAATGAGAACAAAATTGGACGGTGGAGGGAGTAATATTTTTTTGTTTAAGTTTTTCGATTTCCAGTTCGATAGTGAAAATAACTGTTGAATGTGTGCAGTGAACATGTGTAGTTCAATGGAAGGGATGTTGAATTGGCTGGAGAAAGAAAAAGATTTCGACTTGATAATATGCGACGCCGACCTTCCTGGCCTCAATGTTAGCAATTTTCTCGCATACGCCGCAACTGTGATGAATCTTAGAGTAATAAGTAAGTATCGTCTCCTCAATTATTTATTTCAATTAATACAATCACCTCCTAATTAAATTTTGATATGTCGGACTGCATATTCAACTGATTTATGTATATATGCAGTGATGTCCGTCAATGGGTCAGAAAGCAAGGTGATCCAAATGGTGGATGGTATTTGTTCATTTTACTACCCGAAGCCAATCGAGGAGAATCAAGCGAGATACTTGTGGCAATATGCGATCGGGAAACAAAATCAAAATCAGCAGCAGCAACAGCCCAAATTGGTGACTGAAGAGCAGCATGGACATGAATTCGTCCATGCAGGTCCCTCGCCGCCGTCGTCGTCCAAGAGAAAAAGAAATGACATAGAATTAAGTAGTAATGAAGAAATACCGTACGCAGAGTCTTCGTCCAAGAGGGAGAAACGGTTATGGAATGACGAGCTCCACAGCAAGTTCTGTGAAGCAATACAACAGCTGGGAGGAATCGACGGTACATTTACATTCATATTCATGTTCATGTTCATCTTAATTATTAAATCTCATTTAACTAACGAACTAGGTTTTCGTTTCTTCTATTTATTTTTTGTTTTCAGAAGCTACGCCAAAGTTAATAGAGAAGGCCATGAATATACCAGGGTTGACAAGGCAACATATCTCGAGCCATTTGCAGAAATACCGCCTCAAATTAAAGGCCGGAAAAGAAGCTATTAAAAAGAAGCACAATCACTTTGAGAGGGTACTGTCTTCTGAGATGCTTCAGATTCAGCCTCAGCCTCAGCGTGCGTTCCAACAAGAAGAAAATAGGAATGCCTATTCAATTTCTTCGATTGCCGAGCAAACTCTTTCGGTAATGAAAATCGGTGTAAATGGAGGACCTTGCAGTACTATTACTAGTACGATGCCCCTGCAGCAGAATTCAATGAATCAAAGCATATTGCATCCTTACAGTAGTTGTCAGATGGCACCGTGTCATTTTTGGTCGGATGCTTCTCCCTCCTACACCAAAGACGACTGCACCCAACTCCAAGTCCAACTCCCGACTGCTGATTCTTCTAATGTGCAGAAGAATATTAATTATGCATCGTTGGATCAGCCATCCTGTCCGATGCAGTTGCCACTAGCTGCTTACCAAGGAGAGGCCGTTACTTTGGATGATTTTTTGGATGATGATTCACCGATAATTGATTCTGAAGTTTTCGAGAAGCTATTAAATGATCTTTGGGGTGATCAGAATGCTGTTGCGGCTGCTGCCAATAGCCATCAGTGCCCTCAATCAGTCCAACTACCGACGATGACGACGACAGTGGCTGATCCTAACATGCAAAATTCAAATATTGTAAATACTGATGATGATGATGATGAGGTGCAACCCCAGCCCTAACCCAATGCTTGGACGAGCTTCCAGAAGATGATATGTTTGCGGATTGCATGGCCGATAATTTGATACAAGTGAATGATCCTTTTTAGGACATGATGTTCATAAAATTGTAGTATTCTACTGTACAACATATATATATTAAGAGACTTTGTCTCTTTTTCTTATTCCAGTTTTATTTTTGATGAGATGTAATTTGTTTTCTATTATATTTTTGGAATTGTATATATATATATATATTATCTATTATGGATTTTTTTTTTTTTTTAATTTTACTATAGACATTATTCAATTGGTGTGATAAGGTGTGAATTATAAAATTATGAAATCAAATTTTATCAATGCATTCTCAGTAAAGTCTTTACAATTTCTTTGATGTAGTTTATTCGATTGTGTAGACAACAAAAATATAAATAAACATATTTTAACAACTTTGTTTTGATAAGTATTTAATTAAATCTTAAAATTTTATTTATAAAAAAAAAAGTAGAAAGAATTTGTTAATTTAAATAAAGTTCTTAAAAAATGAAATTAAACAATATGTTAAAATTATTTCGTATGTATTAAAAACTAAAAAATATTAAAAAGTTTCTTATTTAAGTACAAGGGCATGAAAAGATATTTATTTTGTTATCCCACATCGACAGAGAAACCTAACCTATATAGGAAAGCAAAGTATATAACCAAAAGAAGAGTATGGAGATACGTACTTACCTGGACGGGGTCAATGGGCGATCAATAAGTTCCATGGCCTAGGGTCGTAACCTCCATTGCACTCCAAAGCCGGAGGGGAACTCACCTAAGGTCGGCCTAAAGTGGTCGAGCCTGCGTCATAATTTGTGGCAGCGGGGGCCTGCGTTCGCGCGGCCCCTACCAATCATAGTGTTATAACTTGTGATTATTTTTATATTTTATTTGTTGTAGGACAAACAGAAACTATTGACTTAAAGGATAGATTGTGGGTACTGAGGGTTGACGGATCGAAATGGTTGTATGAATCTGTAAAGTAAGCACATGGTGAACTATTCTTTCGCCTTTTACTAAAAAATACCACTTGTTTGTTGCAATTAAGCGGCATTATTCTATTTTTGAAAACGATCTTTTCATTTTTTGAAAGACTTCTATAATCCGAGTTTAATCATTTTTTTATTTTTTATTTATTAATCTTTCAAAAGAACGTTCTCTTGATATTGTGAAGATAATTTATAGTGTATTTGTTAAGTTCAACATTGTCATTTGCGGAAGCCAAAATGCAATGCCTCCAACTTGTGATTCGAGAAAATAGTGTGACCCAAGCCATATTGTAAAGTATAAATATCTGCACACGTACATCAATGTGTGTAATTTGCACGACTTTTTTCATAAGTTATTTCTGGAATGTGTACTTGCATGAGAAGTTAGGCTAGATACAAAACAAGGCCGGAGTAAAAAATGTGACCGGTAAAACAGCCACATTCACGAGGACTACAAAAGGTTTAAGGATCAAGACATGGGTGACGCTTGGAAATGGATTCGTCCAGGACATTGTGTTTCAACATGAGACTATGGCCAATGTCAAGAACCCTATTATCATCGGCCAGAATTATTGCCCAAAACGTCGGCCAAAATTATTGCCCAAAACACCAAAACTGTCCGAATCATGTAAGATACAAATGGAAATAAAGTCACATTCATCGTCATCATCCCATCCGAACTTTGCGTCAAATTTGGCATGGTTTGGAGTTAACCCACGCCAAATTAACCAATGCGGTAAGTAGTATAAATGACACTGAATTGGAGATAGTCTAAACACACAAGATGTTTTCTTTGGATTAGAGAATAAAAAAGAGGAAATTTAAGAGATAGCAAAATTCTAAGCCAATTATGATATGCACAATTATCATAAAAATAAATTATTTTATCTCACCCGAAGTCACATTTAAATTAATATTCAAACAAAAACCAAAATCAGGATTATTAAAAAAAAAAAATTTAAGAAAATTCAAGAGATAAGCAAGAGCTTAGGCCAATTATGGTGTGCACAGTTTTTATAAAATAAATTTATTTTATCATCTCAGACAACATTCCATCTAAATTAATATCAAGCAAAAATCTAAAAAAATCTCCGCCAAAACACACCCACTCAATATTTTTGGTAACTTCGGTACTTTCAATAAAAATATTCTAACACCACAATTGTTGCCATGGTCGATTTATTACATAAAATTTTATTATCTACAGATGATATATATTGATATATTTTTTAAAAATTTTAATAATAAATATAAATAAATTTAATATAAATATAAATGTATATACTCCCTCCGTCCCGGAAAGAGGTTGCCGTTTACTTTTTGCACGTAGATTTTTTAATACTAGTATTATAATAAATTGTAGTGAAAATGACGAAAATACCCTTAGTATTGTGTAATATAAAAGTAATGGCATTTGTGTAATATAGTATAAGTTGGAAGGGTATTTATTATATCAGGTAGGTAGTACAATTACTAAATTATAAAATAATAACTTTGTTTTGGGACGGACGAAAATGGAAAATGACAATCTTTCAATGGGACGGAAGGAGCATATAATTTTTTATTCAGGTGAAAAAAAATAAGATGATATATGTGGAAGAAAGAAAATGTAAATTAAAGGAATGTAGATACTTTTATGAGCATCTTGATTGCAGGTGGTCCTAAGTAAATAGAAATGGAAAAAAAAAAAAAGAATTCACATATATATTTGGATATATATTTATAAAACAATTTTTTTTAAAAAAAATAGATGTAATAAGGTTAAGAATGTTTTTAAGCTGTTAAAATTATTAAAAAGACATATTATTAAAGTAATTGTTTTGTCTATTAAAATTATATAATTCATTTTTAAATTCTTTTAATTATATTTAAAGATTTTAAATTCTAGTATTAGGAATACATTTTTAAAATTTGATTATTTATATTTTAAAATTTTAATGTAAGGATGATATATAGATTAAAATAAAATTAAAACCCAATATTAAATTATTTGTATCTTATAATTTATTTTAAAAAAATTATAAATTATGTTTAATAATTTTAGCTTAAGTAAAAAATATATTTAGTATAATTTAAATTTTTTCTTAATATAACATAGAAATGAATTATTTTTATATTATATTATAGTATAATATTTATTATTATTATTATTATTTTATTATCATTATTAAGGATAAAATATTAGTTTTAACTGAAAAATATATATATTTTTTCATTTTAAAAGTTAATATTTTTAAAGCTATATTTTCTTTTTGATATAGATGAATAAGAAAAAAAAAATAGATTTGCCAAAAACCAATTGAAACGGGACCAGAGTCTGCATATATATATATATGTTTATATACAAAATTTAATTTTTTAATTTTAGTTTCAGTGATAAAAATTATACAGTAAAATAAGTATATGCTTTAATTATAAAATTGACTTACCAAACTATTAATACATATCTATAAATTATTTACTAATCATTATGATATTTTAGAAATTATTATCATTTTCCATTTCAAATATAATAAGCATGTTTGATTAACCAATACCATATTAGCCCACACATTCAAAGAAAGTAATGAATAAAAATTAGAAATTAGATTAATATTAAAAAAATCTAAATTGAAAAAAAGTCACAAAAGACAAAAATATAAAGGAAGAAACGTAACAGTGGGCTTCGGCTGTCTTCCTTACCATTTTGAATCTAACGGTCATTTCTGTACAATAATTATTTATTCAGTCTTTGAATTCGCGTCGCCGGAAAATCCTTCCGACGCCGTTAATAGGATCGGGGATGATGGAGAAAGGGGGGAGGAGAAGGGGGAAGCGGAAGGAGGATGAGGTGGTCGTTGAAGATAAAGGCGATTTGAAGAAGACGAAGAGAAGTCCGTTGCAGGATCTAAACGGAAAATCGATAAGTAAAATCCACCGGAAAAATAGCTCGAATCCATCTTCTTCCACTTCGATTTCTTCGGTCGGAGCTTCCAGAGGTAGTTCGAGGCTTTTCCCCTCTTCAATTTCGTGTTCTTCTTCTTCCTCTGCGAGAACCCTAATCGATAAGAAGCCTAGGGATTCTTCAAAATTGGGGAGGAATTCGTCCAAAATTTCAACCAGATCTGAGGAAAACGAACAGTTGTTGCAGAAATCAAAGGCACAATGTTGGAGAAATCCTACGAAATCAATAGGTAACAATAGATCGAAGCCTCCGTCGAGAGTCATAAATCCCTGGCACAATTTGAAGAAAGCGCCTCGAGAGCTTCAGGTGAATACGAGCAATTCCACCGCGGCAACGGCGGAGGATTCTACTCCGGCGGGTAAAGTGAATTCCGATGGTCACAATCATGTCAGAGAAACTGTAAATCCTGAAAAGGCTGCTTCTATTGGTACCAACAGTGGCAGTGATGCGAAGACACCTCCAGTCGAGGCTTCTGTGTCGCCGGAGATCCAGCGCCACACTAATTCAAAGATGTTGATCATGAATTCTGCCATGGCGGCGACGCCCACCCCTGTTTGCTACGGTGCAGGTCATCTTATTTCAGGAGTTACCGACAACAGAAAGTGCAGGCGGAGAGGGAGCCTAAGGGGAGGTTCTGAAAGAGCCAATCTCTTCGCTGCCGAAACTGATCCTTCTTTGGATTCTGCGATTCTCTTGCCCGCCGAGGCTTCGGTTCGGTGGCTGTTGTCACCCTGCCACGAGGGGCGTGAGGATCATACAAACGAAAGGTTAGGACAATGTAAGACGATTAATAATGATGATGATCTGAACACACCTGATTTATTGTCTTCGCCATCGTTGTTATGTGGAAATATATCTGATTTGTTGTCCGGCGATAGTTGTTGTATCGATGAAAAAATTAGGGATAAGTACATTGTAGACTCTGTTAAGGAGGAGACGATTGAGTTGAAGGGATTGTCTGGGGACGATTCTTTGTTAGCTTCGACTCCTGGTGATCTTATCGGGGGTATTTCGGTTGATTTATTGGGCAGTGGTAATATGATTCAGACACCGACGTCAGAATCAAGTTTGGATAGTTGCTTAGAGAGGTCGAGGTTTAAGCCACACTGCAGCAAAAATACTATTAGTCCCGAGCTCGATTCAATAGCCGAAGCTCTAAGAAGGGTTGATCTGTCATGTGGAGTTCCTGATTGGGAATCCGATCCTGCATTTGATGCTACTGGACTGTCTCAGATGAAGATATCTTGGAGAGATGGATTAGTTATCCGGGACGAAGAAAATGATGAATTTGACTGCTGCTGCCTATCAGATGAAGAAATCGATACTGATAATAAATCTCCCAAGGAAGCAAAATTACTAGGAAATGACTCGGGAAAATCCATTGATACATTTCCCATCATTAGCGAGTATGAACCGTGCATATCTGCACGAGACAGGGGAAAGTTCCCGGCCTCTGCACCGGACACTTGCGCTGAGTCCATATGCACAAATGGCGGCAGCCTTGTCGCTTCAGGCGACTCGGACTGGACGTGCTCCCTTGATCACAACTTTTTTCGGGTGAAATAATTGCCGTTGCAAGGTAGGAAGCTTCTTCAATTGTTTCGAAAGCATTTTACATATTTATCGCTACCTTGTTGGCTGTTGCAGGACAGGACATAAGTAACTTAGGCGATCCATGGCAGATTCAACGGCGCGCTTGTTAGTTTATTCTACATCTTGCAGGTATGCGCTAGATCGATGAGCCATGATGTAATGAAATTTACAGCGAAAGAGGTCTTAGCAAGGATAGAAACACACACACACACACATACTTATTATAGAAACAGAGTGTGGTTTCAAGATTCATCTACTTTGTTGGCATTACAGAACACCATTTGTTCGATTCAGAATCTGCTATGCAGAATAACAACAACACTTTATTAATTGTGTACTTCAATTGCATACCATAATTGGCCAATGATCTTGCTATCTCTTAAATTTCCTGTTTGGGATTGTCTCTAAACCCAAGAAAACATAGGGTGGGTATGTTTAATCGGTGATTTTTTTAGATTTTGTTTGATATTAATTTAGATGTGATGATGTGTTTTTATAAAAAATGTGCAAAACATAATTGGTCTTAGCTCTTGCTATCTCTTAAATTCCCCGTTTTGGATTGTCTCTAATCCGATGAGTTTAGATAATGATTTGTATTTTTTTAGATTGTCATTTTGATTTTCTTGATGACGTGGAAACTCGCTGCCACAATTCGAAAGTGCGCACTGGGTAAACCCCCGGCCCCGTAAACTAGACTCAACAGGCAGGCCACACTAGGCGAACTATGTGTGGCAGGTGACCTGAGGCGTCGGGGGTTTGAACCCATAACTTCACGGTTACATGTCATTTTGGTTTTTGTTTAGATAGTAACTTAAACGTGACATCGTGTGAGAACAATTTATTTTTATAAAAATTGTGCATATCATAATTGACCCAATTTATGGCATGGTATTGGTTAATTTGGCGTGGGTAGACTCCAACCCATGCCAAATTTGACGTCAAGTTCGGATGGGATGTTCCCATTTGTATCTTATGTTCTTGGACATTTCTGGCGATTCGGGCAATAATTGTTGTATAATACATTTAAAATTCTCAATATATTTAATTTCAATTTCTTGTTATTTGGGCAATAAATTTGGTTGATGATAATAGGGTTCTCGACATCGGCTATGGTCACGTGTTGAAACACAATGTCCTGGACGAATCCATTTCCTAGCGTCACCCATGTCTTGATCCTTAAAACTGTTTGTAGTCCCCGTGAATGTGGCTGTTTTAACGGTCATATTTCTGACTCCGGCCTTGTTTTGTGTCAACCCTAAGCTTCTCATGCAAGTACACATTCTAGAAACAACTTACGAATAAACTTGTGCAAATTCAGCACATTGATGTACATGTACATGTGCAAAAATTTCACTACAAGAAAATATTATTTTTGTAATGAGATTTTTTCGTCATTAAATTCACTTTTTCTGTTACTAATGATATTAGAGACGGAATTAACGATGGAATTACGTTAGCTACGTAATCTTTAGTGACGGAATTTCATTACAAATATACTATTTTTTTTAGTGTTTATACCACTATTTTTTTTATCCACAAGTTGGAGGCATTGCATTTTGGCTTCCGTAAATGACAATGTTGAACTTAACAAATACACTATAAATTATCTTCACAATATCAAGAGAACGTTCTTTTGAAAGGTTAATAAAAATAAAATAAAAAAATGATTAAACTCGGATTATAGAAGTCTTTCAAAAAATGAAAAGATCGTTTTCAAAAATAGGATAATGCCGCTTAATTGCAACAAACAAGTGGTATTCTTTAGTAAAAGGCGAAAGAATAGTTCGCTATGTGCTTACTGTACAGCTTCATACAACCATTTCGATCCCTCAACCCTCAGTACCCACAATCTATCCTTTAAACCAATAGTTTCTGTTTGTCCTACAACAAAAAAATATAAAAAGAATCACAAGTTATAACATTATCATTGGTTTGTCCTACAACAAAAAAATATAAAAATAATCACAAGTTATAACATTATCATTGGTAGGGGCCGCGCGAACGCAGGCCTCCGCTGCCACAAATTATGACGCAGGCTCAACCACTTTAGGCCAACCTTAGGTGAGTTTCCCTCCGGCTTTGGAGTGCAATGGAGGTTACGACCCTAGGCCATGGACCTTATTGATCGCCCATTGACCCCGTCCAGGTAAGTACGTATCTCCATACTCTTCTTTTGGTTATATACTTTGCTTTCCTATATAGGTTAGATTTCTCTGTCGATGTGGGATAACAAAATAAATATCTTTTCACGGCCTTGTACTTAAATAAAAAACTTTTTAATATTTTTTAGTTTTTAATACATACAAAATAATTTTAACATATTGTTTAATTTCATTTTTTAAGAACTTTATTTAAATTAACAAATTCTTTCTTCTTCTTTTTTTATAAATAAAATTTTAAGATTTAATTAAATACTTATCAAAACAAAGTTGTCAAAATATGTTTATTTATATTTTTGTTGTCTACACAATCAAATAAACTACATCAAAGAAATTGTAAAGACATAATTGAGAATGCATTGATAAAATTTGATTTCATGATTTTATAATTCACACCTTATCACACCAATTGAATAATGTCTATAGTAAAAAAAAAAAAAAAAAAAAAAAAAAAAAAAAACCATAATAGATAAAATATATATATATATATATACACAATTCCAAAAATATAATAGAAAACAAATTACATCTCATCAAAAATAAAACTGGAATAAGAAAACAAGACAAAGTCTCTTAATATATATATATATATATTGTATACAATTTTATGAACATCATGTCCTAAAAAGGATCATTCACTTATATCAAATTATCGGCCATGCAATCCGCAAACATATCATCTTCTGGAAGCTCCGTCCGTCCAAGCATTGGGTTAGGGCTGGGGTTGCACCTCATCATCATCGTCAGTATTTACAATATTTGAAGTTTGCATGTTAGGATCAGCCACTGTCGTCGTCATCGTCGGTAGTTGGACTGATTGAGGGCACTGATGGCTATTGGCAGCAGCCGCAACAGCATTCTGATCACCCCAAAGATCATTTAATAGCTTCTCGAAAACTTCAGAATCAATTATCGGTGAATCATCATCCAAAAAATCATCCAAAGTAACGGCCTCTCCTTGGTAAGCAGCTAGCGGCAACTGCATCGGACAGGATGGCTGATCCAACGATGCATAATTAATATTCTTCTGCACATTAGAAGAATCAGCAGTCGGGAGTTGGACTTGGAGTTGGGTGCAGTCGTCTTTGGTGTAGGACGGAGAAGCATCCCACCAAACATGACACGGTGCCATCTGAGAACTACTGTAAGGATGCAATATGCTTTGATACGTTGAATTCTGCTGCAGGGGTATCGTACTAGTAATAGTACTGCAAGGTCCTCCATTTACACCGATTTTCATTACCGAAAGAGTTTGCTCGGCAATCGAAGAAATTGAATAGGCATTCCTATTTTCTTCTTGTTGGAACGCACGCTGAGGCTGAGGCTCAATCTGAATCATCTCCGAAGACAGTACCCTCTCAAAGTGATTGTGCTTCTTTTTAATAGCTTCTTTTCCGGCCTTTAATTTGAGGCGGTATTTCTGCAAATGGCTCGAGATATGTTGCCTTGTCAACCCTGGTATATTCATGGCCTTCTCTATTAACTTTGGCGTAGCTTCTGAAAACAAAAAATAAATAGAAGAAACGAAAACCTAGTTCGTTAGTTAAATGAGATTTAATAATTAAGATGAACATGAACATGAATATGAATGTAAATGTACCGTCGATTCCTCCCAGCTGTTGTATTGCTTCACAGAACTTGCTGTGGAGCTCGTCATTCCATAACCGTTTCTCCCTCTTGGACGAAGACTCTGCGTACGGTATTTCTTCATTACTACTTAATTCTATGTCATTTCTTTTTCTCTTGGACGACGACGGCGGCGAGGGACCTGCATGGACGAATTCATGTCCATGCTGCTCTTCAGTCACCAATTTGGGCTGTTGCTGCTGCTGATTTTGATTTTGTTTCCCGATCGCATATTGCCACAAGTATCTCGCTTGATTCTCCTCGATTGGCTTCGGGTAGTAAAATGAACAAATACCATCCACCATTTGGATCACCTTGCTTTCTGACCCATTGACGGACATCACTGCATATATACATAAATCAGTTGAATATGCAGTCCGACATATCAAAATTTAATTAGGAGGTGATTGTATTAATTGAAATAAATAATTGAGGAGACGATACTTACTTATTACTCTAAGATTCATCACAGTTGCGGCGTATGCGAGAAAATTGCTAACATTGAGGCCAGGAAGGTCGGCGTCGCATATTATCAAGTCGAAATCTTTTTCTTTCTCCAGCCAATTCAACATCCCTTCCATTGAACTACACATGTTCACTGCACACATTCAACAGTTATTTTCACGGTCGAATTGAAAATCGAAAAACTTAAACAAAAAAATATTACTCCCTCCACCGTCCAATTATGTTCTCATTTCTTTTGTAAATCTCACATAGAATGTGGGACTTACAAAGAAAATGACAACAAAATTGGATGCAGAAGGAATTTAGTAGGATTTACAATGGAAACGGAATTGGACGAGGAAGGGAGGTTGTACACCAACAATGATGTATTCTCACCTGAATAGTCGTATTTGAGAAGATAATTTGACAGAGCATTCAAGGCAGTCAGATCCATATCTACAATTAGAACTTTCACTCGAAAGGGAATACAGAAATTCATACTCATATTTTGTGTTTGAGGTTTTGGTGAAAAACAAATTCAAGTTATACAAGGAAGAGGGTTATATATATTAATGAGGATGCAATCTTATCGCAATCTTATTGTTATTTTTGGATAATTACGGTAGTATTTTTTAAGCTCATTACTACTCCCTCGTCCTAAAATATATTTGCACGGTTGTGTAGGTAATTGTCTTTTTTGACAAATTTTTCCTTAATTGTATTGTAAACATTAAAAGTAATGAAGGGTAAAAATGTAAAATTTGTGTTTAAAAAATAAAATATGACAATAGTCGTTGGAAGTCCCATATAAAAAAAAATAGGACATTAGTTTGTGGATGGAGAAAGTATTATTTTTCAAAATGGAATCTGCGTTTAATTTCATTCATAGAACGGGGAAGCGGTTTCAATTAAATTAAGGTACTGTTTGTTTTGGTTATTTATTTTAATTCCCAAAACTTGCATTTAGCCTTAATATCTTAATTGTTAATTTGTTTTTGGATTCCTTATTATTAATTAATTTGAGTTTTATTCTACTATTATTTCACCTAATTAAATTCTATTTTAAATTCTGGTATAAATTTGCAATAGTCATCTCCTAACTAAAGTACTCTTAAAATTGTAGTACAATATTACGACGGTTGTTTTGACTGCCGGTCTGACGGCAAGATAAGAAAAGAGACATGTGTGATTATTTTGTAAAATAATTTGAAATTTTTTTTATAACATTACGAGAAATTGTGTAGAAAAATATAAAACTAATAAATGTTTAATATATTAATAATTATATATTTTTTAGATTTAATTTATTTTCTATCATATTTTGGAAATTATATATATATGTATTTATTTCAATCAATTATATAGTTTTTTTATGTATAATTAATTTTATTTACAATGAATTTTATTTGATTTTACTACTTTATTATTGAATTAAAAATATCAATTGAATTGGTGTGATAAAATGACAATAAAATTATGAATTTGAATTTTATCAAGCATTCTCAATAAAGTGTGCTATATAATACTCCACTTATTTAGTGTAGCTCAAATTTGTCCGACATTGTTCACTTTATTTTTTTTATTGCATTAATTTTTTTATAAATATTATTTAAAAATTACAATATATATACATTAACCCGCCATATATAATACATACATTTTATTTGATTTACTTAAAAAAATTAATTATTCACAATAAATATATAATTTTTTATACTATTAATATAATTCTTCGTGACATCAAAAAAACATCTATTATAAAACACAAAGCAAACAAACCAAAAAGAAATATATATTAGAGTCCGACAAAGATAATATCATTATTCTTTAATAGGAATGTCCAAGTAAAATGACATAATTAGCTCAGAAGAAAGAAATATTATTTTGCATTATACAATAATAAAACATATACTATATCTCGATTAATATAAAATAAGCGATATATTAATACTAAAATACTCTTAACATTTGTAATAAATTACAAATATAAAATTCATTTATAAATGATAAAAACATAAAAAATAAAAATAATAAAAAAATTCTACTAATAAATAAAATATTATTATTTTTTAATATAGTAAAACCTCTTCACAAAATGGCTTTTGAAGTAGTTGGAGGGAGTGTATATTTTCAATTTTTAATGACCAATCAATAATGGTCACCACAAAAGTCTCCTACAATAGTTTGTACAGTTCCTTCATTAGTTTCTGGCAAGCTTCTTCGTCGACTAAATGGTCGGGCACGGGCAGATCAGAAAAAATCTCACTGCTGCAAGGGTGCATGCTTTGATTCATTGAATTCTGCTGCACCTCCATCTGGGTCGTAGTATTCTGTTCGACTAATTGGGTACTGGCAGCAGCAGCAACAGCAACAGCGTTCTCATCATCCAAAGGATCATTTAATAGCTCCTTGATCATTTCTCCGACGTCAGAATCATAGACTCTATTGCCGGCTGTCGCTGAATCATCACTAAATATTTCATCCAAAGTAACAGCTTCTGCTTCGCAAGCGGCTGATGGCAACTGCACCGGACAGGATGGCTGATCCGATGATACATTATCAGCGGTCGGGAGTTGGAGTCGGGGGCAGTCGTCTTTGGTGTAGGACGGAGAAGCATCCGACCAAACATTACAAGGGGCCATCTGACTACTGTAGGGATACAATATCCTTTGATTCATTGAATTCTGCTGCATCGGTATCGTAGTAGTCGTAGTACTGCAAGGTCGTCCATCTAAGCCGATTTTAGTTACCGAAAGAATATTCTCCGAAATTGAATAGACATTTCTTTTTTCTTCTGGTCGGAACGCAGGCCGAGGCTGAGGCTGAATCATCTCCAAAGACAGTACCCTCTCAAAGTGATTGTGCTTGTTTCTTATCACTTCTTTTCCGGCCTTCAATTTGAGGCGGTATTTTTGCAAATGGCTC